AAGACAGTATAAGTCATTATAATCCATAATTATGTCCCCACTGGATGCACCGTATGGTGAGGGGCATAACATTTCTGTCACACGCTTGAGGTATTCGGCCAGTCACAACGCACTGGATAGCTGGCCAATCAGAGCACACCTCGCTTTTCAGACCGATGAGCTTTGTAAAAATCGACGCGTTTCAGAAAGGCGGGGCATAGAGGAGAAACAATAACGTACAGTATGTGGAAAATAATGTGCTTTTTGAACCTTAAACCGCATAAACACATTTCATTACACCAAATACACAAAATAATGTTCATTTTAGCAACATCATATGACCCCTTTAACGAATGTGGTATCCTGTAAGCAATAATCTATCCATGGGATTTTTTGATTACTGTCAGTTTAAGGGCAGGTGATCAGTGTTGCCAGATATTGCTATGAAAAAAATTATAATAAAAAATAAAAACCGTAAAATAAATAAAAAATAAACCAAAATTATTTCAAATCTTTTGCAAATAACATAAGATAAACATATCGCTAACCCTATACCCAACTTCCCACTTTATTAACTTTTTAAAATGTCAAATTAAGTGGAAAAGACAAGTCCAAATACACATAATAGCTGGATCTGGCAACACAGTGGAGGCTGCGCCCCATGCCCTCACTCACAACTCTCTCCAGCCTCGTTCTCTTGAGTGAACCGCCAGCGTCAATACATCATTTTCATACCACTGACGCTAAACATTCTTGCAAACTGTCTAAACATGCAGACACTCATATAAGGAGCTTTAAGTAGCAAATTCATCATTCAGAGAACAAATTTTATTTCTGAACATGAAAAATGTACACCTCGGTCCGGACCTCTGTGACCTCATAGCTGGCTACAGGCATGCTTATGCTCACTTATAAGGCACTACATGGTCGGGCCCCTCAGTATGTGTCTGCACTTTTAACTTTATATACACCCAAGCATCACTTGTGCTCCTCACAAGCTACTGGCTGTTCCACAGACACGCTTGCATGCGATCTGTAGGGGACAGAGCTTTTTCATCCTACGCCCCTAGACTTTGGAATGCACTCCCTTCTTACAATAAGAGATGCACAGAATCTATGTACTTTTAAATCGAAAGTTTTTTTTTTTAGGCTTGCTTTTTCTTGATTATTCTAAATTGTATGTTTTAGTCTGTTCTTTTAAATATGTGTTGTAATTTTTATGTGTTTGTTTTATTATGTAAAGTGCCTTCAAATGCTGCTTTAAAGGGGCTATATAAAAATAAAGTTATTATTATATTATTATTATTAGATTACAGAGGTGGACAAAGTACACAACTCTATTACTTGAGTGAAAGTACAGATACTGCTGGTCAAATATTACTCCATTACAAGTGAAAGGTTGTAAAGACAGATGCTTACTTAAGTAAAAGTACAGAAGTACTTGCTTTTAAAAGTACTTAAGTACCAAAAGTAAATCTGAGATGTCACAATTTCTAAGTGTTAAAATGAACTGCATCCTAGTCTTACATTTATCATCTGTTTTACTTCATTCAAAGGAATATTTCTTTTCTAAAAGAAAAAAATATATTTTTTTCTACATTGTGGTCATGTGACCCCATCATACTGTATGTTTATAATTCAGCAAGATATCCGATTTTGTGTAAAAATCTTTCAAATGTGTCACTCTGATCAAATGGAAGACATTTATGCCCATGTTACTTCAGATTCATCCATCACGCTGGAAATGGAAGGTCAAGTCAAGCGCATTGCATTCTGGGATACAGTTTGTCATGCAGTAAGCTGCTCATTTATAGTATGCATACTGAAAAAAAAATCAGAACTACTGTGCACAAGAGAGTAGTATGCTATTTCGAACATAGCCATGGACTGGGCAAAATAGCACAGGTTTTGTTTTTTTAATGCAGAAGAAGTGCAGAAGTGGTAAACAGATGGCCAAGGTTTGGTTTTCTTGACAGCTTGCTACCTAAACTAAATAGCATTAGCCAGATTCCTCTCCAAAAATAGACTAGATTTCATTATATGCTATTCTGAGTGTACAACTGTGTTTAAGACCATCATGAAATTATGGGAATGTTGTCCACCTTTCATATATTAAATCATAAGACCTATCAAAATACAGTAAAATGCAATACAAATAAAGTAGCTCAACTGCAAAAATCAGACTCGGGCCCAGTGGCTGCTGGTTTATCAAGACTTGTGCCAAACTAATCAGCTTGATGTCTGTTAATTTCTCTGAAAACCGGTTAAGATGAGGTTTAATTTGTGGATGGAAGTTTTGCCAGAGTTGGTCATGATGGGCTGAGAAATATTAGGCGTTAAGCTGAAGGATTCATCTCCTCAGGACACCACCAGTGCTAATGTAGGTCAGAAGATTTTGTTTATGTGTGTGAGAGAGAGAGAGTGAGACATCTTGCTGTGACACACTTGGCAGTGGTCATCTGAGACTGCAGCAGTCTAATGGATCTTGTATGGAAACTTAACGTAATAAAAAAAAAATCATAATTATGAGTTTACATCAATTAAGGCTTTTTTTCCCCCCTCAGAACTGCAAGTTATAAATCTCAAAATTCCGACTTTTTTTCTCAATTGTGAGTTTCCATTTCGCAATTCTAACTTGTTCCTCAGTATTGTGAGTTTATGTCTCACAACTGCAAGTTAGAAACTCATAATTGCAAGTTTACATCAATTCTAACTTTTTTCCCCTCAGAATTGCCAGCCTGATCTCACGACAATTTGTACATATTTTACGAGGAGGCTAATTCGTATGACCTCACACGTACAAATTCATACGATTTGTGCTAAATCGTATGTATTTTACGAGTTGCACAATTCGTATGAATTTGTACGAATGACCTACACCTAACCCCGCCCCTAAACCTACCCGTCACTGGGGTCTAGACAAATCGTACAAAATCGTACGAGTGAGGTCCTACGAATTCGTACGAATTAGCCACCTCGTAAAATACGTACGAATCGGTCGTGAGATAGCATTGGAATTGCAAGTTATGAACCCACAATCGAGAGTTTGTATCTCACAATTCAATTTTTTTCTCAGATTTCTAAATTCACATCTTTTTTTCCTCGCAATTCAGATTTTTTTCTCTATTCTGAGAGTTACATTTCGCAATTCAATTTTTTTCTCAGATTTCTTATTTTTCATCTTGCAATTCTGTCTTTTTCTTGCAATTGTTTTTTCCTCTGTATTCTGAGTTTAGATCTCACAGTTCTAGTTTTTTTTCTCAGATTTCTGAGTTTGCATCTTGTATTTCAATTTTTTTCTCAAATTATTTCCCAGTGTATTCTGAGTTTACGTCTCGCTATTCTCATTTTTTCTCACAATTCAGTTTTTTTCTGTATTCTGACTTTACATCTCGCAATTCTATTTTTTTCCTCAGACTTCTAGTTTACATCTGGAAATTGTCTATTTCTAACAATTCTATTTTTTCCTCTATATTCTTAGTTGACATCTCACAATTCTATTTTTTCTCTGATTTCTGAGTTTTACATCTCGCAATTCTGTTTTATTTTCCACAATGGAATAAAAAAAATGTAAAGTTATTACGACTTTTTATTTCACAGTTCAGACTTTTTTGTCTTGCAATTCTGAGTTTATATATCACAATTCAGACTTTCCTTCTCAGATTTGCAAATTCATATCTAACAGTTGCGAGTTTATACCTTGCAGTTCTGAATTGCAAGACAAAAGTCCGAATTGTGAGATAAAAAGTCGTAATTACCTTTATTTTTTATCTCGTGGAGGAAACAAACTTCCACAATCTTGACCACATGAACTGAATGACCACATGAAATGAAAGGATCAAATCCTTCCAAAAGCCTTTGTCTGTCTCCAAAAATAGACCAAACTAGTCCATGTGTCTCATGCACTTCTATATAAGCCTTTTGAGATGAAATGGGTGAGTAAATGATGAGAGAATTTTCATTTTTTTCAGGTGAACTATCTCTTTAAGACAGTCGACATGGTCTAGCGGCTGTTTTTACCCTCACACCATGATTCCAGATCATCTGTCTGGACTCGCCCACATGCGGACCTCTCAAAGCAAAAGAGATCCGACTTCACACTGAAGTCTTTATTACTGAGAAAGATAAACAAGGCCTGTTTGATTGCACTGACATCACCTTTGGAGGCAATAAAATGACATCATGATAACTGAAAAGTCCACGAGATCAGGATATTATATTGCCTATCCTGGACTTTGTCTACTTTATCAACACCCTTGTTTCTGCATGTGCAAATTCAGTGCTATCTCTGTGATACACGACAACCAGGTCGATTTATTTTCTTCTTTTTTTTTTTTTTTACGGCAAAGTTCAAAACAACATCAATTTGAAATAGAAAACTTTTCTAACATTGTAAATGTCTTTACTTTTGAATATTTGCATCCTTGCTGAATAAAAGTATTAATTATAATAACCCCAAACTTTTGAACGGTACTGTAAGTTTATTTAAAGAGAAAATTATAAGATGTTTTGCACTGTGACATTTATGATATCTAAAAATATGTTAAAGATGTTATTTAAATAGTAAAATACATCATGATTTGTTTTGTCTGGCTTTTAATTTACACTGGTGTAAATTATTTGTAATACAGTATGTATATTTACTTAAAATCTGATGAGATTCCCTACTGAAAATAATGAAAATGACAAAAGTAAAATGTCTGGATACAGTACAATAATGAGAATTTAAGGAATGGTCCATGGGCCATGAATGTGATCCTGTATGAGTGTGTGCTTAGTATTAATTATAATAACCCCAAACTTTTGAACGGTACTGTAAGTTTATTTAAAGAGAAAATTATAAGATGTTTTGCACTGTATGTATATTTACTTAAAATCTGATGAGATTCCCTACTGAAAATAATGAAAATGACAAAAGTAAAATGTCTGGATACAGTACAATAATGAGAATTTAAGGAATGGTCCATGGGCCATGAATGTGATCCTGTATGAGTGTGCGCTTTCATGTGTTTAATACTCACCGGTGGCGCTGTTATAGCTGCTGATGGATGAGGATATAGGTGGCGTCTCATCGGAGTCCACGGAGCCCGTATCGTCGTCTTGAGAGCATCCGGCCTGGATGGCGCGCAGGTAACTGTGGCTCCGGGAGCGGAAGCAGGTGGGTGTGGGCAGATCCAAGGCCTCCACCGCCTGAGAGTCCAGCTGGCTATAAACTGCGCTGCTCCGGTAGCCCTGCTCCACCTGAAAGGACATGTGCACGTTGAAACGTCCCGCACGAGGCCTGTGGGGCAGACGGCCGCTGCCCACCCACAAACGCGCCTCGCACGGGGTGAGATGCAGCCGGCGCTTTAGGGTGGACTGATGCATCGTCGTGCAGACATGAGGAAACGCCAGGTTTCCTTGAGTGGTTTCCATTCAGTCTAATGCAACAACTGTGGCATGAAATGAGAAAACAAATCCTTAAATGTATTCCTTTCACAGTTGTACTGATCCTTGTCTGTGGATGAGGAGTTTATAAATTGGTATAAAAATGCTTGGAATTTGGACTATATTTCAGCAAAAAAATCATTCAGAAACATCCCCCACAACTGGGAAAACTGTAGAAAAAAAGAAAAAGAGTATTTGTATTGTTTTGTATTCGTCTGTCAAAAAATGTAATTAAATTATTTCAAAAATATGTATTACATAATATAATATATAGGAAAAAAGTGTATTTTACTTACAGAAAAGTTCATCCTGTTTTAGGTCTAATAATACTGTGGCCTTATTGTTTATGATATTTAAAAAAAAATACTGTATTGTGGAAAAAAAACTAATGACGTTATTTAAACAGTAAAATATTTATACAACATGATAGTATTTTTTGTCTGGGTTTTAATTTATGCCGTAGTAAATTGTCTGTAATACAGTAATACAGTATATGTTTTATTTTGAATCTAATGATAATCCCTATTGAAAATGACAACAGTAAAATATCTGCATTACAGTAATGAGAATTTAAGGCAGACAGTGCATCGTTGTCATGAAAAACGTCATAATGCAAAAAAGAAAAAAAATCTTAAATGTCCTAAAAAGGCTTGTTTTTAATATCTATGCAAGTAATTCAAAAAAAGTAGTTGATTTTCTTTTTGCTTAAATATAATTTCCCACTTTGTTTTGCTCCAAATCCATCAGGCAGAATGCAGAGAAAATGCCTCAGAGAGTCTATCAACTCCAAAATGATTCGGTTGAATCTAAGTCTTTCCAAACTAACCTGCAAACAAACACAATCACGGTTCATAATCTCAAAGCCTCAGAGTAAAGAGTAGAGAGAGAGTGTTTGTCCAGCAGGAGACACATCTCACAGAGACACAACAGAACAGAAGGCTTGTGTGTGTTTGTCAAGGATAAATCTGACAATTAAAGACAAACAAACAACAGATACACATGCCAAACCATACCGAAGAGCTCAATAAACTAAAAATCACAAGCTAATTCCCAGGAAAAATACTTAGGAGTGCTGCAAATTAGCTGTTGTCCTCATTTTTCCTGACTTCTTTCCCTCTGCATCTCAGAAACAACTTCTCCATGAATCATCCATCAGTCTTCACAGCACATTATCCCATTGAGCAAAACAGATCTCCAAAAAAATCATAATACAGTAATACAGTATATGTTTTATTTTGAATCTAATGATAATCCCTATTGAAAATGACAACAGTAAAATATCTGCATTACAGTAATGAGAATTTAAGGCAGACAGTGCATCGTTGTCATGAAAAACGTCATAATGCAAAAAAAAAAAAAAATCTTAAATGTCCTAAAAAGGCTTGTTTTTAATATCTATGCAAGTAATTCAAAAAAAGTAGTTGATTTTCTTTTTGCTTAAATATAATTTCCCACTTTGTTTTGCTCCAAATCCATCAGGCAGAATGCAGAGAAAATGCCTCAGAGAGTCTATCAACTCCAAAATGATTCGGTTGAATCTAAGTCTTTCCAAACTAACCTGCAAACAAACACAATCACGGTTCATAATCTCAAAGCCTCAGAGTAAAGAGTAGAGAGAGAGTGTTTGTCCAGCAGGAGACACATCTCACAGAGACACAACAGAACAGAAGGCTTGTGTGTTTGTCAAGGATAAATCTGACAATTAAAGACAAACAAACAACAGATACATATGCCAAACCATACCGAAGAGCTCAATAAACTAAAAATCACAAGCTAATTCCCAGGAAAAATACTTAGGAGTGCTGCAAATTAGCTGTTGTCCTCATTTTTCCTGACTTCTTTCCCTCTGCATCTCAGAAACAACTTCTCCATGAATCATCCATCAGTCTTCACAGCACATTATCCCATTGAGCAAAACAGATCTCCAAAAAAATCAATTCTCTTTCCTCTTTAGAAATCATTTCAGAGCCTCGTCTCGCTTTAGGAGTCTTGATGTCTCCATCAGTAGAGCGAACGCTTGAGTATCTCGTCCTGATAACATGCCCTCGAACTGATTTCCCACTCTCCACGTCTCTTTAGACTAGCTTAAGGATGTCTTACAGCATTTTAATCTGGAACACTCCGTTCCTGAGGTCAAGTAATCAGCAAAACCTCTCTGACACATTTCAGCGTTCGCTCTGTGATGCAAAGCGTACACATTCACAAGAGATATTTTACATCTGAAGAAGAAAATGTGAGAGACGGTGCCAGAGCAAAACTCTCTGCTAGGATGCTTGGCTGCTGTGGTTTCTAGAGGGTTGCCATATGGTTGCTAGAATGTTCTGGAGTTGCTAAGTGGTCACTAGGGTGTTCTGGGGGTTGCTATGGTGATGCTAGGATGTTCTGGAGTTGCTATGTTGTTGCTATATGGTTGCTATGGTGTTTCTATTTGGTTTATAGAGTGTTGCTATGTGGTCACTAGAGTGTTCTGGGGGTTGCTATGGTGATGCTAGGATGTTCTGGAGTTGCTATGTTGTTGCTATATGGTTGCTATGGTGTTTCTATTTGGTTTATAGAGTGTTGCTATGTGGTCACTAGAGTGTTCTGGGGGTTGCTATGGTGTTGTTATGTGGATATTGGGGTGTTCTGGGGGTTGCTATGGTGTTGCTACGTGGATATTAGGGTGTTCTGGAGTTGCCATGGTGTTGCTATGTGGTTGCTAGGTTGTTCTGGAGTTGCTATGTGGATACTAGGGTGTTTTGGGGGTTGCTATGGTGTTGCTAGGGTGTTCTGGAGTTGCTATGTGTCCACTAGGTTCTTCTAGAAGTTGCTATTGCATTGCTATACAGATACTATGGTGTTTTTGGGGTTTCTATGGTGTTGCTATATGGTTGCTATGGTGTTGCTAGGGTGTTCTGGAGTTGCTATGTGTCCACTAGGTTCTTCTAGAAGTTGCTATTGCATTGCTATACAGATACTATGGTGTTTTTGGGGTTTCTATGGTGTTGCTATATGGCTGCTATGGTGCTGCTATGTGGTTTTTAGAGTGTTGCTATGTGGATAGGGTGTTCTTGGGGTTTCTATGGTGTTGCTATATGGTTGCTATGGTGCTGCTATGTGGTTTTTAGAGTGTTGCTATGTGGATAGGGTGTTCTTGGGGTTTCTATGGTGTTGCTATATGGATACTAGGGTGTTCTAGGGTTTGCTTTGCTGTTGCTTTGTTGTTATTAGAGTGCTTTGGGGCTCGCTATGATGTTGCTATGTGGTTGTTAAGGTGTTTAGGTGTTACTAGGGTGTGGTAACTAGCGTGTTCTAGCCATTACATATTAAAAACATATACATACTCCAAGTAATATCAATAATAATAGTAACAGTGATGCTTTAATAACTTGAAATGAATGAAATTATGTTTGTGACCTGGCCCATGGTGGACCCTCGACCCAGTGTAGAGCACCGCTGACCGAATCCCCCATCAGCGTCCCAATGCAGCAGACCTGCTTCATCCGCTCCCATCAGACAGTCCAGGTTATCCAGGCTGCGATTGGTGGAGACCTCGCATAGAGACGGCATACGGCTGAGAGAAACACACACAAACACCAGAGAATGAGTGCAGGAAACGGCTGATCAACATCCCTGAGAAATCTAGAGCTGCCCCTGATTTTCTAGTCATTCATTTAAGCCATTAGTCGACTATAGTTGCACGTTTATATTAATTGAATTATGTAAATATTTATGGGTGGGAGATATTTTAATTACTTATTAATAAACTAGTACTTTCTGAGTCAGTGTCAGCTGCAAAGATGAAGTTGATGATGCTGACTCGCCATCTCCACAGTGACAAGCCTTCAGAGAGAAATACAAGTTTAATACAGAGTACATAATCAGAGAGTATTTCTTTTCTATTCAATTTGGTTAATTTTAAAGTAGACATTTCAAGCTTACTATAGATATATTTCTCATGTCTGTGAGGCAAGTAGCCTAGATGCTGAGTTTCGCTTCACTTTTGTGATGCAGAGACCGAGGCGGCAGAAAGCGCATTCTTTTTGTTTCCTTTATTTTACAAAATCACAACATATTGTTGCTATTGTGAGAGTATACAAATAAAAGTAGACTCTTTACAGTTTCGAATGATGTATTACTCTTATCCGCATGAGCAAAAATGATGGTGTAGCCTATTTTGTTTCCACTATTATCAGGAGAAACCAGTGATCGTGCCAGCACCTGCATGTCACGCAGTAGCACTCTAAACAGCTTCCATACTCCGTACAAACACTTGAATATGCTCCTAATAGCACACATTTATCTCAGTTAACGTTAAAGCGAGCGGCCGTGCAAAGCTGCTTCTACTTGGGCTACAGATTTGTTTCAATTTCAAATGATAAGCCATATTTGTGCTCGCTGAAGAACAGGCGATCGTTTGGATTTACTGCCCAATATACTGTAAGGACCAGCTGTTATTTGTCTGTCACGGACACCAACTGTTTTTTTCTTTGACTAGCCAACTAATATAATTTTTATTAGGGGGGCAGCCCTAGAGGAAACCTTTACATCCTTCTCCCTTCTGCCACTCCGCTAGTAACATTTAATTTTATTTTCAGTAGCGAGCGAGAGCCAGGTGCAGCACAGAGGAACAGTTCTGACCAACTTGACCAAGCTATAAAATAAATAAATAAATAAATAAAGTTCAGTGAGGATTCAGTCAGGATGGTGGTGGAGGTGGTCATCGTGCATCAGGATGCTTTGTAGTGAAGTTTAACAGTGCTTTTATTGGACAGAGTGAAAGTGCGTCTGAGTGGTCACACCACACCACTCCAAACTGCTCCCGCATGAAGGGACAGGGGCTTGGCCTGATAGGAAGGGCCGTTACATGACCATTCAACATCAAAGTCTGTTGTTTGTGTCTAAGATTCATCAACAACTGACTCGACTGCATAACTTTCCAAGTAAATTAATTATAAATGATCTATTTCAAGCTTCAATCCGAACTCAAAACCTATTTTTCTCCCTGTTTCTAACATCTCATTGACAAAAATGTTGTTCCAGGACCAACAAGGATGTGTGTGTGTGTGTGTGTGTGTATATATATACAGAATGTATATATATATATATATATATATATATATATATGTGCTTTACTCACAATTTGTACCTGATTAAATATTTAGATAAATAAATATAACAATATAATATATATAAATTATAATAAATATAAGCGTTTTGCACAATATATTTATTATAAAAATGCCCATACAGTTGTAAAATTATATTAATTTAAATGACTTTTTCAGGTCTAGAAATCACACTTTTAAAATGTAGAGGTTTTCCAAGACAGTGAGAACCCTGGAGCTTCAAAGAAAAAAATTGTTGTTGAGAGGGTGAAAAAAAGAAAGAAATATTTTTTTTAAGTTTTAGTTTACCTTAATGCTTATTTTAAATCATTTGGAGGTTTGCTGAGGCTGTATATAATTTTATTTTAATATTAGAAATTAATTGGGTCAATGTTGATTCTGACAGAAAACTCGCCCGGGATCCTGCTGTTGCTATAGTAATGAACACAACCTTCATGTGCATCTGATTGATGGATAAACCGCACACACTTATTTCAGTGTTTTATTTATTTAGTGGATATTTCAGCTAACAGTTTGCTTTGTACATTCAAGTTTAACAACATACAGTTAAAGAGGGTAAACTTTATCATTCAGCTGATCTGTGCTCGTATGTTTTAAACACTTCAGCTCCCTTATATGTTCTTACTCCACACGTCCTTGAAAGCGTGTGGTTTTCTAGCGTATTTATTTTAACTTCTCAGGTAATATCAATGGTGTGTGACATTACTTCCAGAAGAACCATACGAGAAGCAGGAGACTTCAGTAAAAGTCTCCATCTATGAGAAACAATCAAGATATTAAAGAGATCTTTTTTTGTAGTTTTCTTTTGCTATGGAGAAAGTGAGTCATGTTTAAAGAGTATCAGTCGTCCTGTGCCTGAACTCTTCTGATATGAAGCTTTTACTAATTAACCTGTCAACATACTGCCATCCGCTGGTCACAATGAATATGTTCATGATACCATCAGTGCTGAGATGTTCAGTTTAGGATATTTATTAAGATAAGGCACTAATAATGCAATTTAAGTGATGTGCTTAAAATAATCCAACAATTATCACATAAGATAATCTAATGAATTGAATGTCATTGTGCATGTGGAGCTTTGTGTTCATAAGTTCATAATGTTTATTTATGACTGTAAAAATTGTATTATTATAGTCAGGGTCATTGTAGTTAACTGAAACAAAAAACTAAAACCATTAAAAAAAAAAAATATATATA